AGAGCAGGTCTTGATGTGAGAGTTGAGGTCACACTGAGTAGACACACGAGTGAGGACAGTGAGATCAGCAATAGGAGACATCACTTTAAGGATTAAAAAATTAATTTTATTACTAGAGCAAATCACTGTGCTTTCTAACTTACAATTTCCAAATATGCAAGAAGACAGGATGGCCGCAGCAGCTTGTACTTGAATGTCAGGATCCTCAGTCAAATGACAGACTGTTGGAATAACCAGTGGGAACAATATTCCCATTGTGCCAAATGCCTAAAATTAGAAAAGAAATAATATTGAAATATTACTTTAATTAGAGAGTGATCAACGTACTGATCCAGTGCAGTAGGCCATGAAGTATCCAATGATGGTTGTTATCACTGGAACATAATCAGCAGAAATATTACCAGAACGGAGTACCTGAGCAATGAAATTACTAGTCTGAGTCTCCTATTAGAGGAAGGGAAAGACAAATTAATAATGCAACAGAAATGAATAATCATCCACTCTTGATACTATTAAAGCATTTACTATGAATGACATTAACAAATCAAACAAACATGACAATAAATTCTAATGAAAGTGAATGCGGCTATGGATGAGCTAATATTATAATAACATACAGTAATGACACTGCCTAGTGCCCAAGCAAGAACAAGGATAAACAACAGCTCAATGACATCCTTCACTCCTTCAATCCAAGAGGTCATCACTTCAGAGAATGAGAGTATTTTCTGGACCATTAACATAACAGAGAGGATAAGAGTAGCCAGACAAACGCTCCATATGACAGCAGCCATGGCATCAGCATTACCAAATATATTAGTAATAGACACTGATATCCTAGCATTAGAGAAACATGAATGCAAGTACATGTATAATAGTATTAATAATTGATGTATATGAAATCAAAGCACTGTAATCTGGGCTTAAGCACAAATATAAGTACTGAAATGTGTTTTGAATACCAATTAGATTGTGCTTATACTGGTACTTTAAACACAAGTACACAAGCACTTCATCATGAAATGCTAAGTACTGATTTATGTGCTAGTGCTTGAAAACAAGCTCCTATGCTTACCAGACTTTATAGAGGACCTTATCTTGACCAGAGGACTCCATTGGTACCACTAGTGTGGCTCTAAACCTTGTCTGAGAGGAAAGTCAAAAATCCGGAAAACGGCCGTTTTATTCAGCCCTCGGCTTTTTTTCATCTTCATCATCATCATCATCATCATCATCATCAAGTCCTGTCAATCCAGTTGTCGGTCTGTATCTCAACTTTGCTCGGTGATAGAAGGCTAATTCTTACACCATTCTACTCTAATAATGCATGCGCAGGTCCCTATTCTTTATGACAATTCTCCAACAAAGGAAGAAGTTGTACTGTCACTGCTGGATCGGGCCCATCTTAGCTGCATGCCGCCATTTTATTATATAAAGAATGTGCTCCAAAATTTGGGCGTGCTCGCGCATGCTCAGATCTGCAGCTCTGGAAGAAGCAAGCTAATGAAGCTATTAATCAACTGCAACACTTCGTGGAGGTTTCCAGCTAAGAGAAGGTATTATTAATCTTGCATACTATTCTTTTATTAAGTGTGTAATGAATTATTTTATTTCAAAAAACAAACAATTAATTAAATAATGTTATAATAATGCAATGGTAATTTGACTTGACAACATGAAGGATTGCAGGGAAGATGGATACTGTCACTGCTCTTTGAACAAGGACTCTTGTCAAGACTAGTATAAATTTCACTTGCCATCAATGTACTAGACATTCTTTCAGCATATCTATTCACTCAATGTTGTCTCTTACAATGCTTTAAATTTAAGACATAACAATGATGATAATGATAATAATAATAATAATAAACTTATTGTTTGTGTAAAACCAACGAGTATCACAATGGCAACTGAAGAAATATTATAAATGTTATAAAAAAATTAACACAAACAAGAACATAAAAAATTTTTAAAAACAAGATGAAGTAGGATTCCAAATGACCAACGAAAATACGAAATGAAAATCCTACTCTCGTGACACAAATTCTACTCTACATTGCAAGGTGATCAGTAATGTCTTACATAATAACATTGAAAGTACAATTTAGAGTAGAATTTGCGTCACGAGAGTAGGATTTTCATTTCGTATTTTCATTGGTCATTCGGAATCCTACTTCATCTTGTTTTTTTTAATTTTTTATGTTCTTTTGTTATTAAGATTGAGTTATTTTTGTAATGGCCACTTATGATGAGGGAGATTTAACTAATAATGCTCAGAAATTCTTTGACTGATAATGCTTTGACGGGTTAAAAAACTACTGATAATTTTCAAGGATTCAAGTATATAATTAGCTCATCAATATTAATTTCTCATTGTAGCTTATTCTATGAAGTAGATTTATGGTGCATATAATCATTTTGGTTGCCTTGTCATTGGCCTCGCCTACGCGAGGTATAGGTAGTTGTTGTATTAGCCCATTCATTGAAGTCAGGAAAGCTCTGTGTTACATTGCTGTTAACTTTAGAGACAACACCATTAGCCCATTCATTGAAGTCAGGTTGCATTATATTTTTATCAATGGTGCTGATCACATAATCAGCCCATTCAGTAAAGTTTTGGCTGTTGTTATTTATTTCTTGATAAATATTGTGTGCCACACCGTCTGCCTATTCACTGAAGTTAAAACTTTTAATGTTACCAAACTTATTGTAGACTTTTTGAGCTACATAATTGGCCCATTCATTTGTATTACCACTGCTAGCACCAGTTGCAGCATTAGTGCACTCAATGTTATTATCAGTAGCAATATAATTATTATATGCCAAACATCCTGCAATTCCCAGTATTATTATTAATAGTATCAACATGAGACAGAGTAGTACTGTTATAAAAAGTAGTTGCTTGTTCCAAGACGACTCCTTACGTTTTTGCTTATTTTCAGTATTAATATAAGGTGCTGGCAATGGAGGAGGTTGGGAAAGTGACTGCTGGTCTCTCACATCTTCTTTTATGTACATTTCTGCAAGTTCATACATGTTCTCGTTTGCTGGCTGCATTGATGTGTAATCTTCATGAGACTCATAAAACTCTTCAAAATGTTTTGCCATAATTGTTTGGACATGTAGTTGCAAAGATGAAGCTTAATTGTTACTAATTCACTGGGGAATTGAATGTGGTCCTTTATATAGAAGTGTATAGTTTAGTCCCAAAGAATATATTTTGTCTTTGGGAATTTGAACTGTACAAAGTTATGGTTGATTTTATGCAAAATTATTTAACAAACATTTAAGAAACATAACTAGGTTCGTGCCAATAAAAATAAATACTATACATGTACATGTAATTGTTTATGAAATTACATGTACAAGGAAATCCTTACAAACTAAATTATATATTTGAATTATACATGTATACATGGTAGCAAAGCTTATTTCTATGTTTTTTTAATGATTACATGCAACTGAAAATTAATTAGCTTAATAAACTTCTTTATGTATAAGCATAGATGTGTATCAGTATCAGAAATATAGCAAAAGAGAATTTTTGTAACTTAACCCTGGCAATAGAATGAATAGATTAATTGATTGCTCCATTAAAATTATAGACACTGTCTCAGGTAAACTATAGAAATTGAAGTCTTCCAACCTCTCCCTCTTTGCCTACGGATATACCAGCATAATATACTTGCTACAAAGAGGGAAGGGAAAAGTATGCAGAATTTGATACAGAAGAGTGCTATAACTGAAGGGCCAGGTTTGAATCCACTAAGGGATTTCTCTACACCAAACAAATGAATTTCACTTTGTCACTCTACACAAGAGTTGATTGATGGTTAGCAACAAGAGAATGATAAAAGAAAAGTAGCAAAAAATTTAAGGAACAAAAAATAAAAAAGAGGGAGAGAAAGATCATGTGTCCAAGAATTAGAATCTTAAGTATCAATAATTATGCAGATAACTACAAATTGTAGGAATACTATAAGGCACAGTAATGTAGTAATAACAACTACTGTATAGGGAGCATATTTATCACGGAAAATATTTCATGAAAATCACCTTTTAACCTATTCACAACAAAAAAATTTGCATTTTTTCCTACTGACTATATATGATTTTAAAAATAACTTTCATAGATAAAAAATTTTCACGAATTTTTTAAAATCACAAAATTAGCAAATTAAATCTCCGTGAAATATGCCCCCTATTTGGTATACCCAAATATGTAATTCTGCTACATTGTGCACAAATCTTGGTATTGTAGTTCCTATGTTATAACCAGTGGGTGATCTTAAGCTCACCTAACCACTGTATCACCAATAACACTTGCCAGATAGAGTGATATCATACATAATCTGAAATGATTAAAATAATTAAATAACCTGAATAATTCATCAGACAAATTCCTTTCTATGTATGGTAATCATTATCATACTAAAAGTTTTTGGTTAATAGCATGAAATTTACATGTGTAAACATTATGTCTCATTTATAAGTATAGTAAAGTGTGTGTGTGTGTGTGTGTGTACCACAAAATTAACAATAAAGTGCCATCCCTTAAAATAATGTAAATTCTCAACTACAAGTCCACAAAATTAAAATCACAAATTGCCACAATAAGGAGTAAACCATAAAACAATGGGCCCATGAAAATAACCCTTTATATGGGGGTACTATTATTTTAAGCAATAAGTCCTTTCTAAGCACTGTGGTTATCAAAAAGTAGTTGAGTTACTCCTTCAAGAAAAAAATTGATTCACATTTATCAAGAACAAAAATGAGGTCCAACAAGTATATTTATATTATATTTATATCAGGTAATGTATTAGCACCTGCTAATAAGCCCAGTATGCTTGCTGTAATATGAAGAAGATGAACAAGACTAGTATATCTCGATATGTCTGAATCTGATGCTTCACAGAACTGTCCTCAAAGTTTCCCACAAAGCATGCTAAGTGAGCTAAACAGCATGGCATTTCGAGCAACTTTAAAATTCAATTTTAACTTTTAACTAAAATTAGCTCATTTTCTATACAATACAAGAACATGCATATGCATCACAAAATAATTTGATGAAATTTGACCAATGCCCAGGTTTTGAGTTAATTGAAAAATTTAAGCTTGATTAAAATCAGTTCAAACTTTCTAGACAACATGAAAAAATGTATATGCATCAAAGAAAATTAATAAAATTGAGAATTCTCTCTCTTTGTGATTTTGTCAAAATACGTTATTTGGCCCAAATTTGAGCAACTTGACAATCAACTGACAAAAAGATACATAAGCACTATACCAAAATTGGAAATCCTGATTGTCCTTTGGTCTGTAGAGTAAGAGATTTTAATGTCCAGGTATCACTGGTAGTGCAATATTTTATGCTTCATGGAATACAAATATTAATTTTGTGCATCAAAAAATAGTTGTTTTGATTTTTTGATTGTGAATGACATTTACCAGCTAAGCCACAAAGCAAAAATAATAAAACAAACTAAGTTAGATTTCCTCTTTACAAACAAATTTTGACTCCAACTAAATAAACTCAAAATCAGCTCCCACCGTGCCCTCAACTAAGTTATACTCAACACTCTATTCAGAGTAAATAGTGTACACAGCCTTGAGTGAATCAAATGTGTAGAGACCTTTTGTTCATCTTATTTTTATACTTGCAAGTGTCATTGGCTTCTAAAACATACTTTCAAGCATTGCAAATGTTTTGTTTAATTTTAGAAGGCTCAACAAAATATGTATCATTCATTTGATAATGGTTCTAAACAACTAAAATAAAAAAAGATGGAAGCTGACAAGTACTCCATACAACCCATCCAACATGTCTCAGTTAATTTTATTAATTCAAAATACAATAAGAATCAAAGCAAAAATTAATGGCTTATTTCTCTTATTGATGCAATCAACAATCTACTGTACTACTGTAATGAAAGTATATTAAGATTTGTACTGGTAAGATGACATAAAAAATAAAGGTTGTTTACAATATTAAAAATTGAGAAGTTTTCTAGCTTAGTCAGAGAGGCTAAACTTAGTCTTTACAAAACTAGATTTAAATAATAGTACTTACAGTAGCAATTCATGCCATATGGATTTCACGAAGTAGTTGTTATTCAAATTCTGGTAACATATCTTAATACAAATATCATTTATACTCATCATTACATCAAATTCAAATAGTTTTTCCAATTAGAATAGTTTCTCATCAGTTGTTGTTGCTATAGACACAAATTATAAAATATGTACTCATTTGTACCAGTTAGTTAGTCATTCATTTTATACTCAGCACTTAAAATGGAAAGAGAAGAGAATCAAAATTATGAGAATCTGACGTGTGACACAACCAACGAGGAACCTGTGTATGAGTTGTGCCAATTACCAGCTGTTAAAGCAAGGAGGCAAGAACAGACTAAGAATTTAAAGCAAAAGAAAGACAAGAAGCAAACAACATGGAGTAAACCAATCTTCATTCTGATTGTGTTACTGTCACTGATGGTAGTATTACAGATTAGCATCCTTTGCTTGTTACTGGTCAATATGTCTACCAGAGATACAACTAATACTGATGCTACTACTGGAGCCATTTCTGGTAACACTGGATCACCTAATTTTATTGAGTGGGCTAATGTTGTTGTCTCTGAAGTTATCAGCAATGTTACACAGAGCCTTCCTGAATGGGCTAATGGTGTTGTTTCTCAAGTTAATAGCAATGTAACACAGAGCCTTCCTGACTTCAATAAATGGGCTAATGGAGTAGCACAGACTATGTTTCAGTTACTTCAGAGCTCTCCCAATTTCACTGAAGTTGATGAACAAATTTTACAAACTACAAGAGATTCTGCACAAAAGCTAATAAACATTGTCAATACTCTCTCTAATCTACAAGACACCAGTACCTCTACTGCTGGAGTGGCTGATGATATACTACTAATAGCACAGGAACTATTGGTACTACACAATGACTCAACTGCTTCACCTACCTCTTGTAAGCAGATAAAGGAACAACAACCTAACTGTCCATCAGGATATTATATACTGGCAGGTACTAATGGAACACATACTGCTTACTGTAATATGGGATCACTGTGTGGTTCAGGAGGAGGATGGACAAGACTGGCATATTTGGATATGACTGATGCTACACAAAACTGTCCTTCTGGGTTTACAATTTACCATTCAGGAGGAGTTAGAGCTTGTGGTAAATCATCATCTCGTGGTGGCTGTGTATCAGTTAAGTTCTCATCTAACAGTATCAGTTATTCACAAATATGTGGTAGAGTAACAGGATATCAATATGGCTATGTAGATACTCTTAATTATTATTATGGTATTGATTCTCCTTACGTTGAAGGTGTTAGTATCACTCGTGGGTCTCCTCGTCAACATGTCTGGACATTAATGGCTGGTATCAATCAAGTCTTATCAGGCTCATGTCCATGTAATAATGGTAGTACATTATCAGTGCAGTCTTTTATTGGTAATAACTACTTCTGTGAATCAGGTGTTCCTAATAGTAGTCCATCACAGATTCTCTACACATCTGATCCACTATGGGATGGTCAAGGTTGTGGTTCTCTTGAATCACCTTGCTGTAATGTTCCTGGTATCCCATGGTTTCACAGAGACTATGGTAGCACTACCACTACTGACTATATTGAGTTGAGGGCGTGTACTAGTATCAGTGGTGAAGACAGTCCTGTTAGTTATTATGAGATTTATGTTAAGTAGTGAAGTGTGTGTATTAACTCCTACACTAATATTATTAGTAAATGTTCTTAGATATAAGTTAATATTCATTAAGTTTAGTTTTTAGTTTCTTTTTTATTTTAAAAAGTCTTTCATTTGTCTTTTCTTCTATTACAAGCATGTTATGAAGTTCCTACTTGTATACACACCCTTTAAAAAATTTGTCATCAAAATTTTGTTGTTATATTGTTAGATTATTAATAAAAAGAATTTGCAGCATTTCAAAAAGAGGACAGCAATATTTGATAATGCCTCTTCTTGGGCCTTTTTCTATTACCAAATTTAATATAATAAATATTAATTATTCTTCTCTTCTTGCACCAGATCCAATAGTTGTTTGTTATTATCCCACAATTACTCAAAGCATAAATTATCTCGCCTTTTATTTTTACTGACTACCAAAACTTTAGAATAAGCTAATGGATCAGGCTAGCTGATACACTTGATTGCTCCTTGCCCTCTGCTAAAATTGGTTAATCTAATGTGGTAGATCTTTAATTTGTATCCAAGTTTGACTCAACAAATTTCTGCACATTTCACTTATTATGTCCATACAGTAGGTGTATTGAATGATTCTGTAATTTTAAACTTAATCTGTATATGTAACAGACGCTCCTACCTATCTGTTAACCAAACTTTATTCTTAATCAACATGAAACTCAACTGAGCTCAAAAACAAACTAAAACTAACAAAAAACTCACAACTAACACACAACTAACACAACACACTTATATAGATATTATAAATGTCCAGAAGGTTCTATAACATACAAGAATACTTTACATGATTGTTCTAGAATACACTTGAATAAACACATAATATATAATTACAATAGTACACAGAGAGTTCCGGGTCCGTCTAGAAACAACTTCTTACAGTATATAGCTCTTAAATTCCTTTTGTTTTATTTTATTTTTTGGGGCTGTGTGCTTCATCACAGTTTCTCCTACAACACTGTCTAGTTGCGTCTTATTTTTTGTGCTGTCTAGGAGTATTCATTGTGAAGTTTATGAATAATAATAATAATAGTATTAGTACAAACCCCTTACCCCTCCATTCTTTCACTTTATGCATGGTTTAATTAGTTAAGGAGGCGGACTAGAGGCCTTTTCACATCAGCACTATTTTGTATCATTATACATGATGTCACTTATGTCTCTCTCTTACTCACACATAGGCTCAATACAGTCTTAGTGAATTAAAACAGATATTTATTGAAAGATCTTCTTCAGACTGACCACCCTTTCATCATGGATATCCGGATTACCTCTTGGAGCTGTTGCCTTGGTTACATTACTCAATATTACATGTACATCATGTGATACATTGGATTATTATTGTTATGTTGTTTTTAACTGTATCCAGTATTCACATTTAGTGTCATCTCCTGCTACTTGCACTATTGCAAATTAATAAGAGGTTTGCATGAATACAGGATAGAAAAGTCAAGTTCATATATGCTACTCATATTATTATTATTATAGAGTCAATGAGGTTCCTAACTTTCTATACACATCACTCATCTCTGAGGCTTCCAGTACTCATATTCTTTGATGCAGAGACATGGGGTTGATGGAAAAGAAATGGAGGGACTGGGGAAGGAGCACTGCAAGGCTGGACCCAGTTGGTGAAATAATGCACACCTTGGGTTTAAAACTACACATAATAAGGAGCTCATTGATATTCTCTTCCTCAGGCAACTTAAAAACTTATTAAGCAGGCACTTTACATTTCTAGCAAAAACTACGAATGAGTTAGGCTGCAACAACTGAATCTGTCTGCAATTAATTGACTTTAGTAAAATTAATTAATAATAAATAATTTTAATTATTATTATTATTATCTAATTTTAGGAAAAAATAAGT